CGTTCCTTCCCGAAAATTACTTCATAAGCCAAAATCAGTCAATATTGGTAAGTTGAATAAATTTTTGACCTATTCCAACACATTCCGTGATTTCTTTTTATGAGACGGAACTTGAGATCATCGAATTGGTCAAAATATAAACATGACTGCTCTCTAAGTTTTCACTGAGAATGTCATCTAAAGAGAATTTCACAAAAGAAGTAACAGAACAATCGCGTCCTCATCTACATCCATACACTGCTTTCGTTCCAACGATTAAATCATTTCTATACTTTCCTACACTAAACTACACGATTTTCGTTTTGCCTAGACATTGCTTCAAAGTGACAACCTAAAAATCACTCACCACTTTGTGAGAACGATGGCGGTTCTGAAGTGAGCCTAACGACACTTTCGTGACAACTGATCGTATCATCAGCGAATGTTGGAATATTTGGTGATTCGGCGAGTAATCGATCATCAAGAATCTTAGAAAAACAAACACTGCGTTTCCATACAGCCGAATGAAATGGCATCAAACATACAGTTATTATTAACAAATGAGTAACACAACGGCATTATTACAAGCAAATAATACGTTCTTTTTGTGATACTAAAAACATAAAAGTCTTCCTCTACGCATAACTNGCAGTTTTCAGCCATATTTTACCCTTACAAACCGCGCATACACTTCCTTTAAAAACATTCAACTAGAAGTATTAAGGCTACGTAAATTTTTAATTGATTGTAAACAATTATTCAGCTGTAAATCGAGAAGTTTTTAACTGCAATTATCTTCAGGTTACACTTGAAAACATCCGAAGATTAACCTAGCATTACGAATACCTTGTAAAATTAATACTCTCGTTGTGATATAAGTAAAACAGTTAATGTTCATTTACCGAATCCTCATGTCACAACTTGAACTGAAATATAGATTTAGAACTACAGATTCAGTCTGATTGCGTGAGTCCCTATCCCGATTCGACAACACAGGGTGAACTGACAAATATCTATTAAACAACGAACCACTCTTCAATGAGATCGTTTCAAACTGATGATCTTTCGGTTGTGAACACAACAAAGTTGCTGACTGCGAACCTCCATCACGACCCTCTCCGATATCATTCATCAACATCGACGATACACTCCTCTCGTCGGCTTCATCATCTCTTCAAATTATTCACTCTTCATCGACTTCTTTTAGCACTTCAGACTGATTTCAACATCGACATTGAGGCTTGCTCTCTTGCTTCACTTCGAAGATGCATATCATTTCGAACAATGATAATTGAATTTGAAGGTGACTTTGAACTGAGTCTAAAGATTTATTCGGATTTAAAGAATTTGTTCAATTGAATTTCAACTTACGAAGAAGAGTCATTGACTCGTTGATTCAGCGCAACTCCCTCGGGTAATCCATCCGGGAAGTATCTGAAGCCGAGAAGGATATCGCCGTAACACAGTCGAGCATCATAACCCGCATGACGACTTGCCTCGACTATTGACCCACTTTCTGGACGCCTTCAAAATGTTCTTGTATTATTGTCATTCGAATCATTTCAGTAATGTCTAATGGAACCAGAATGATCATTGCAATACTTGAATTCATTATGAAACACTCTTTTGCACTTTCGACGGTAAAAACAAACAAAAACCAACTGACTCGTGC